AACATATCCAAATCAGCGAATGCAAGAAATGGTAGATTAACAGGCCTAAAAAGCTGTGACTGCCATGTACTTATACAAAGAATTCTTCCCATTGGAATGTGTGGTTACGTGGATAAAGAAATTAGTACAACACTTTTTGAGTTAGGCAATTTCTTCCAAGACCTATGCTCTAGGACACTAAGGCGGAGTAAACTGGAGAAATTAGAGGAACGTATAATACACATTTTATACAAGCTTGAAAAAATCTTTCCTCCAGCCTTCTTCGATGTGATGATGCACTTGGTTGTTCATTTGCCTCGTGAGGCTATTCTTGGAGGACCCGTGCAATAGCGATGGATATACCCAATTGAAAGATATTTTTTACACTTATACTTGTAAATGAGATATGCGTAATTGTGTTGTATGTGTAACTATACTCCTAATGTGTTCTCTCATGAAGGTTTCTTGGAGTATTAAAAAAGTTTGTGACCAGCCGAGCTCGACTAGAAGGTTCAATTACCGAGGCTTACATTGTCAAAGAGTGCATTACTTTTTGTTCAATGTATGCTGATAGGATTCAAGCCGCGCATAATCGAAAAGAATGGAATAAAGATCATGGTCAACGTCAACAAGGGTTGACAATATTCATAAAAACTACACGTCCAATTGGTCTAATCACACGAATGTTGAAATGTCTCAAGAAATTCATGATATTGCTCATTGGTTTGTGTTGTACAATAGCCCAAAGATAGAGAAGTATTTGGAGTATGTGTTTCATTGAATTATGTTTATGCTTAGCTTTTTTATTAGTGGTACATAGTAATCACATTTTTTTTAGTAGGGAACACAAAAATCTATTACAAACTCGAGCTGGACATGACATAACCCATATACAACGACAAGAATTTCCCAAGTTGTTCAAAGAGAGAGTAAAACATTTATAATTTTTCGACATTTACAACTTAAACAAAATGAAAGTTTTATAAAATTTTGTCATTTATAAATTATTTACTTATTGTTTGTTACATGTAATTGTAGATAAATAGATTGAGAGTTGAAGAGTCATCATAGGTAACCGATGAATTGTGGTCATTAGCAAATGGTCCTAATTTGCTAGTGAAAGAGTACTCAGGTTGCATAATCAATAGCAGACGGTTCCATACTCGAGATCTAAACAACCGTCGTGCGAGTCAGAATAGTGGCGTGCTTACACAAGGGGATCACGAAGGAAAATTGCATGAATTCTATGGTCACTTGTGCAAGGTTTTGGAATTTGAATACATATGTGATAAAAAAAAAAAAGGGTTGTTTTGTTCCAGTGTGAATGGTATAACACGGTAATACTAGTAGAAACAGAATAATACGATTTGATACATATTGCACAAGCATTGACGTGAAAAGTCGGTGGTACCAATCTGACTTGTTTATTCTATCTAGTCAAGCTAAGCAAGTCTTCTTTCTGAATGACACCAAATTGGATGAACCTTGGAATGTCGTACAAAGGGTGCAACGTAGGGGTGCCTTTGATGTTCTAGAAGCTAGTGATGGAGAATTATTGTATCCTTCAGAAAATAATAATGTGTTATAACAAGAAACATTATTGATGTTGTTCTAATTGACATTGACCCAATTGTTCGATATTGTAAGGATGATGTTGAATTCAATGTTACTTCAGTAGTAGGGTCATTAGATGAGATAATGGAAGAGAATGGAGATGATGAAGGAGATAAAGAACATGACATTCCTGATGTTAATATGGATCCTAAAATGGATTATGATATGTAATTTTTATTTTATACTTTGTTTCTGAACAGATGTTATTAATTAATGTAATTTTTACTTTATATGTTTATGTTACTTTTTTATTTTATTTTATTTAATGGTGCATAGTTATATTGTCTATATTTTCCAATTAAAGTTGAATTATGTTATATAGTTGTAGAAAATGGTCAAAGGCAAAAAATAATGGCTGAAACCAGGTGATTTGAAAAATAATAAGCTAACGGAATATGAGAAACAAAGAAATAAGTGAATCAAGGAGAAATATGAGATAATGAACAATCTTGGAGTGAAGAATATTACAAATTCTTTGGTGAGTGTGGTTCAATCCAAATGTGCAAATGCAAAGGAAAAGGGAATTAGGGTTGAGGTAGATGATGATGATGAGTATAAACCATCAGAGAGTGAGGATGACAATGATGATGAGTCATTGGGTTCCTTTGACCGCGAGGTATTATATACATTATTTTATATTTGTGTGTGAGCATGTCTTTTACTATGTACATATCTTCTTCATATATCTTAAACAACATATATTTTTTAAAATATATTTTAACTGTGTTAAATATCTTTTTTACTATTTGATTATGTTATTTCAAAAACAAGAGATGCCACCGGGACTCCGTTTACAGTCTCATTCAAGGCCATTAACTCCTACCCCAGAGGAAGAGATGGATCTCCCATGTTAGAAGGTTGGTACCTAACCCTTACCACCTCATAATGTGCAACCTAAGCATGAGGTGGCTGTATCTAACAGCATTGGTAAGTTTGCAAAGTTGTTATATTTATTTATTTATTTATCAGTATTATATCCATGTTACAGGCACGAAAGTAGGTAAGTATCATGGACATTGTGAACTTAGATACAAGTTTTGGGCACGTGATTTATCTGCTTGTTAAATTTGCCTCATCTCATTCTTAAATTTTAGAAGTTATGATTGTAGTTTAGCAATCAATGCGTCCAATTTTTCTTTGAACACCTGTGTGCTATGTTACATATTTCCTCTCACGAGGTTGAGTATGAAAGAGTTAGTTTGTTTCCCATTTGACATTTTCTTGATTTGTATAAACCTTTGATGAGTGATATGACATGGTCATTGGCATGCAGAATTTGACAAACCAAATTGAAATCAATATTCCTTTTGATTTCTTTATTATTTCGCATCTAATGGCCTCTTCTCTATCCATTATGCTTGGGACCTATTTAGAGTTCATAGGCTGAGAGTGACTTGGCATAGGCTTATTTGATTTAAGTTTCATATCCTTAGAGTTCGTATTGTGGTTTGGATGGCTATCCTTGGTAGATTGAATACTCTTGACAGGTTGGTTGTCTATGGGATTATGAGCTCTGCTCAATATGTTCTATGTAACCATCAGAATAAGGATGATGACCATTTATTTTTCAGTTGTCCTTATTCTTTTGGGGAATTGGTCCTCTGTTAACTAAATGTAACATGCATTGGCCTGCTGTGAATTGGGGTAACTATGTGGACTGGTTATTTGGGCAATTTTCTGGCCATTCCTTGGCCGCTACTATGAATAAATTGACGTTTACTTGTGTTGTCTACTGTATCTAGCAGGACAGAAACTATAGGATTTTCTCATCTGCCGCATTTTACCCTTGTCTGCAGCGTTATGCTGGTGTTTACTTAGGGATGTTATAAGTTGAGTGATTGTGAGCCACTTCAATTAAGAGTATTGATTGAGATTCTTGAGAGTTGACAGTGTTCTATTTCTGAGGGAATGTGGGCCCATATATGAGTGTTGAGAGATGTGAGACCTTTATATTCATGTATCTTGCTCACTATCTTGTTTTGCAGTTTGTCAAGCTGGTCTCACGTAGGGAAGAGGGTTGAGATGGTGAGTCCCTATAACTAGGCTCAGTTCTGTGGGTTGAGTGATGGTGAGCCACACAGTTTATCTAACTCATCTTCTGTAGGTTGTCAAGCTGGTCCTAATTGTAAGGGAGTTTTTTGTTGAGGGTTGAGTTTTTGACTAGCTCTCATAAATTGTTTGGAGTGTTTTGTGTTGCATATTGAGAGTTGAGTGAATGAGGACTAAATTTTGTGGGTAGTTTTTACCCAACTTTGTTTTATAACATGTAAATTTGCCATTGGGGTTTGCTGGAACCTGAACAAACAGCATATTGAATCTGTTCAACCTCCCCATAGGTCTAATATGTGGTGGTTGAACAGATTTCTTTTCAGGCCTGTGAACATCTGCTTCTAGTTTTTTGCAACCGATTTTATTGTTTTGAATTTTACTGTGATGGATAATGCTGCTGATGTTTTGGCTGTTCTACTAGCTATGTTTCATTTGGAGCTGTAGCAGTTTGAGCTCTCATTCCATGCAGTTCATATGTAGATCTGCCAACACTGGGGATCTAGAATCTATTATGATGGATTTGCTGATGTTGCCCTGCTGTTATGCTAATTGTGGCTTTAGTTGTTGTTCTGCTGTTATGCTGGCTGTTTTATTTCTCTGCTGACTACAAACCATGCTGATTGCTGTGTTCTTTCACCTTTATAGCAGCTTTGCTGTTGTGATTCCTTTTTGCAGCAGCTTTGTAGTTTACTGCTGTCGTTTTGTTGTGTTATGTGTACTGGTGGTTGCTCCTAGTTATTGTATGTGTGTGTTGTGCTTCATTCGTGTTATGTGGACAGGAATTGTGGATTTACTCCTATAGCCTAGTTGCTGTGTTTCATAGTTGGTTGCTGCTATGTATAATTGTGTATGTGAACAAAATTTAGGTTATTTATCATATGAAAAAAAAATGATTTGATTTTGCAAGATCAGTTTGATCTACAAGGCAATCAGAGTCACTGCTGGAAAACAGACTTTTAGTGGCGTTTAAAAAACGCCGCTATAAGTGTCAAAAACGCCGCCAATCCCTTTTGCGACGCTTAGTACCAAACGCCGAGGACGCGGCCGTCGCTATAGCTTTGTGGCGTTTTAAAAATGTCGTGATATTAGTATAGGCGGCGTTTTTAAAAACGCCGCCAGATGTCCTACTAAACACGCTAACGTCACTGATGATATTTAGCGACGTTTTTTAAAAACGCCGTCATATCCTTTTTTAAATATGACCGTAAATAAGTAGGGTTTAAGAGGCATTTGTAGAAACGCCGTTATATCTCTTTTTTTTTTTTTTTAATAAAAAAAATTGTACTAATTTTATTTGATTGAACTAAAAAAATACCTTAATAGCACTAATATAAAATAACAACTCCCATTCGAATAGCTATAATGAAGCACTAATTCACTTTCTCATTCAATTAATATCCAATCACTATTACCTACATAATTAATATATTCAAAATCCAAAAATCATGTTTTAACATTAAACCACAAACTAACATATATCCAAAAATTATGTCTTAGCATTAACCACAAACCAACATATATTCAAAAATCATGTCTTAGCATTAAAGTTGTAGTCTTCACTAGTCTACATGCCTGCATCAGAACATAAACTGCAATCAGATTCACTAAAATAAACACAAATTGAAGAATTTGTACCCAATACTTATAAAGAGTACTTAAACCTTGAAGAAGCACTAACAAGAAGATTTTATCACATACCAAGAAGCACTAAATACATATAAAGAAAAGGGCATACCTAAAGACAATACAGACACATATGAGAATCATGTAAAATTAAATAAATAATACTCTCATAGCATAAACAAATTTAGAGGTCATTTGATCTAACTCCCACTCATCAAATTAGGCAAGACTTCTGAAGGGTCTTTAACATATTATTTTCTTTTAGAATGTGTATAACCTTATCAAATTGAGATTTGCCATGGTTGTGCATCTTAAACTACTTAAAAGGCATGTTTCAGATGTTAGAAAAAATAAATTAAAAACGCTATTGAGAAAAAATAAAATAAAATAAAATAAAAACGCTATTCAGAAATCGTAGACCATGCTGCTTGCAGACCAGATCAATTGTGAACTCTTATCACAACAATTATCAAGTACATATCCCACCATACAAGAAAATCATGAGATGCTCTAATGTGAAAAGTTCTCTTCTACAATAGCTTCAACATGCAAAGAAAGTTAGCTGGTTCCAAAGGAGAAAAACTGAACTCTAGAAAAATAGTAAGTGAAAAGAGGCCACTTTACTATCGCATATCTTATTATTAAACCTAACATTCATACTCAATAACAGGCTTAACATCCATATATAGATGTCATTTGTCTGTAACAGAAATAGCCCTTAACAATCTTGCCTTTTATTAAACTACTACGCTAATTTATAGATCTCATTGGAAACAAAATGAAAAAGGCATTAGTACGTCATTTAAATTCATTTGTGTATTGTTACGTGTAAGGAGTGCAAAGGGTATACATCTCCTATGTAGTCATGATTTCTTGTACTTTATGTTCCTTCCGTCCAAATTGTTTGTCTATTTCACTATTCCAGACATCCCAAAAACTTATCTATATTTTTAAATTTATTCTCTTCTCAACAATTTTGAAGACTTTACCTACAACAACTAATTGAGATATTTAATTTGTGGGAGAAAAAATTTAATTTTTTTTTTATAAATATTAGTTATTGACCCGATTAAAGAGCACAAATGCCAAAAATAGACAAACAATTTGGGATGGAGGGAGTAAGATAGAAAGCAACATTTCCATAAACTTGAGGATTTATAAAAAGATATGCATGCAACAATAGCAAGATTGTAACACCTTATTTAGCAAGTAAACAAAATAATTGTTATTTTCTCTTGCATCAAAGTGGGGGCGGTGTGGATGTGATCACAAGTCAAACATGTGATGAACCTCTCATGGGTCTTAAATTACTAACACAATAACTTATTCAAAATTTTACTGGGATCAAACCCAACACATGATGGCCAATCATACGCACTAAAATATTAAAGTTCCCTGTTGCATAGTACATACCTACACCAAAATCCCAGTTGTCTGCCTCCCCTTCCACATTCAGGCCTCCTATAATTAAAAATTACAAGCAAGAGATAGTCAGAAATGAAAATTAAATTCACATAAAAGAGAAAGATTCAATAGAAGTTATGAAGACAAACCTCATCTTGGCAATTATCAATCATCTTTTTAATCCTCAAGACCTCCCAAAAAATCTGACTATCTTCTTCAATTTCATCAGTCAATGCCTCAGCTTCTCCATAACTGTAATAGGTTAAAAAATAACCCAGAAATCAAAAATTTTTCTAGGAGGAATCTATGTGCTAATTTCGTTGGCCCCCATTTTTAGTGTTGAACTCATTAAGAAAATAGTCATAATGAGGCTCATATTTCTACCCAACTTCATAGTGGAGAACTTGCAGTTCTTCTCCATGCTCTGTAAGTAGTAGAGTCAGCTCAATTGGGTTGTACGATGGACTAAGTAAAAAAACATAAACAATGAAAATGCAGAAAGAAAGAAAAACCATGCAGAAAGACAAGTGGTAGAAAGGAAAAAGAAACAGAATAGTAGACATGTCCAACAGTTCAGACTTGCAACTTTTAGACTTGGACAATTCAGACTTGAAAATTTACATTTGTCACATTCGTACCATCAAGAATGGAGGAAAAGATCTATGATGATTAAAATGGAAGTAAAGTCAATGCAATCATCTGAATCAAATAAATCACAATATGAATCATGAAACCATAAAAATTATGAAAATCACAAGTAAAATGAGCACTTGATTCTTGGCACAGGAGTACAAAACCCAATCACAAATACAAAGAAACAGAAAATAAAATTAAAAATTAAACAAATAAGTGGAGAACATAAGGGAAAAGATGAAGATAATAATTTTTTGTTTTCCAAACTACAATTCTACCCACTTTTTTTTTTTTTTTCCTCGCATGATCATTGTACCAATTAAGTGAAAACTGCAATCAAGAAAATCATTTCGAGTAAATTTTGCTTCATTATCTATACTATCTATATATTATATTATGTAATGTCAGCACACTCTTTAGTTTGAATCAGAAAATGAAGTTGTGTAACACTTTTTTCTTTTCCCTAAACAGTCCAATAAATATTGCTTTTTTACCGAGTATGCTTGATTTTCATTAGCTTTGTGGAAATATGGAAACTTGGCTCTTCTGAACTCTGCTCCTATGCAAACTCTCCTACTGGTACAAAACATTTGTAACCGCATAACTGTGGCTGAGAATGAAGAAGTCTATCAATTACTATTTCAAAATCAAGGCCCTCCCCCAAAACATTGGCTTTGAAGCATAATGATTATGGTTTTCAGAATCCTATTTCACAAAAACTACTTTCTTGGAATAGCAAAATTCTAGCATTCCAACCAAGAATCAGTTGTAATTTATTCGGGTCTTGTCATTGAAGATTTTTCCCTATTAAAATTTGATGCTACCAATCATCACAAAAAACAGTTCAAGCATTATGTTCTCTACTTCCTCTTAATTGCATTGATTATTTGATTATATCTAACTATCTAACTATTGCATAAAGCCAACCATACTTGGTGTAGATGTCAAAAATCAAACAACACAAAAAAGAAATAAAATAATAATAATAATAATTGAAGGCTTCACAAGATCCATAAACAAAAAATAAGCAAACGGCAATAACATCAGCATCCGAAAGGTGAAAAAAAGGAAACCGAAATGTGAACAAAATCATGCAAATTAATAAAGCATTTGAGTGACATACAAACACAGAACACATGCATGCACATATATAAATAGTAAAAAAAAAAAAAAAAACTATGTTATTGAAGCGAACCCTATTTCAGAAAACAAAAAACGGAAGCAGAAAATCAAGAGAGGAAAAGAAAGGAGACCTGTAACGGGAATGGAAGGGGGAGATGATGAAGGGACGAAGCTTGGATTTGCGATTGGAATGGGCACCGAGAGAAGGAAGAATACAGTGGAGAGAGTGGTGTAAAAGGTTCGTTCGTCGTCTCTAGAAAGATGATCCAACTCACTATTACCAAACTCTTTATCCCTTCTCCGCATATTCGAAATCGCTCTGAGACCGATCTGAGAAATCAAGCACAGCCTCTCCTAAGATCACTTCCTCTGCGATCGAAACCAACCCCTCTTCTCTCTTCACAATCTCCCAGAGCTTCAGAGCTTCAGAGTGACATCGCAGAGAACAAAGGATGAATCGAGACAGAGAGAGAGAGAGAGAAAGGAGAGTGGAGCTTCAGAGTTTCAAATCAAAATCGCTCTGATGAATCTGTATGAATCTCAAAGATGAATCTCAAACAAAATTGCTCTGAATCGAAATTGCTCTCAAGGGTTTAGAAGCAATTGGGGGTGAGCAAATGAGAGGTGTGAGGAATGTGAAGGCGTGTGATTCAAAATAATGGTTTACAAAGCTTTAACAAGTATTCACAGATTCAAAATAGGCGCGTGAGGCGCAACGTATTTGGAGGCGTTTTTAAACGCCTCCTATGCCAAAACGGTGTCGTTTTATTAAAGGAATATGTGACGTGTTTATAAAACGTCGTTAAATATTAATTAAAGTGGCGTTTGAAAAAACGCCGTTAAAAAAACGCCGCCTAAACCTATTTTTCCTGTAGTGAGTGATGTAGCAAAGACTTTAGACACACAGTTTGGTTGGCGATTGAGCGGCTTCACCTATAAGTTTCACAAACAATACAAGCAACTTAGGGATGCAAGAGGAAAGGAGTACGTGAGAAGCCACCCACCTGCAAGTGTTACTCTTAATCAGTGGACATCTCTAATTGACACAGAAGTGGAATACTAAAGAATTTTATGTTAATTGTCAAAATTAAGTTTCTTCTTACTAATGTTAAGTTTTCTTGTTTTCATTGGTGTTTCAATTGTGTAGGAACAATCACTAACTAATGTGAATAATAAGATGCAAATGAAAACAAAACATCGATGTGGATCAAAATCAATCTCGGTCAAGGTGTTTAGCTCGGTGTGTTTTACTAATTTATTTTATTGGATTAGTACGCTTTGTTATTTAAATATTTGAAATAACATTCAAAAACAAATGAATCAGATAATTACAAATGGAAAAGTGCCCGATTTGGCAGAATTTTACAAGCCCATCCACTATAATTCGAACACGCATAAATGGATTTCGTCGGAAAGCCAAGTTAATTATGTATGTACAAGGCAATGCATATTAATTTTGATAAAATTATTTCTTTTGCTTTGTAAGGTAGAATAACTAATAATTGTTAGATTTATTTCAAATTAATAGGACAACATGATACAGACGTAAGCAAAACAACTCTCGCAGACTGGGGCGATCCCCTTGACCCCAGAGGCATTTCCGGTCAAGGTGCTTAAGCCAAGGTCAGGTTATGTAAAAGGACTCGGCATGAGGCCTTCTTCTTCTATGAAGACTACTATTGCACCTGCTGAAAATAGTGACTATGTTCAACGCCTTGAGATGCAAATAGCACAGCAAAATGAACAAATTGCAAGGCTTCAAAAGTCAGAGAAGAAACAAAACAAGAAGATACAAAGTATCATAGAGTGTTTGAGACAAAAAGGTATCGCGGGAAATTTTGAGAGTGGGGAAAGTTTAGATTCTGATGGACAAGATTCTTGGTTAGTTTATTATGTTTCTATGTTAATTTAGTAGAAAATTTCTTCTTCAACTAGGATAGAATAAAAAAACTACTTTGATATTTAGGCACGAAAGGTCCTGAGAAAATAATGAAATATGCATGTAAAGGCCAAGGAAACATCACAAACACCTTGAGACAGAGCAACATAAGTTGTGCAAACTTGTGGAACAAGCACGTGGCTCCCGATTTGAAAATAATTTCGAAATTTGCACTATTCATACACTTAGGCATGAAAATAAGTCTTAGGAAGGGGGGGTGGAAGCTTGAAATAGGCATAAAAAGGCTCGGGAAACATCACAAACACCTTGAGAGGAACCAACATAAGTTGTGGACACTTCGAAACAAGCACATGACTCCCATTGTGTTAGACTTATTTATTTTGATAATTTATTTAATTATATTTTAATTTATTTGAAAGAGAAAAATAGAATTCAAAATTTATTTTGATGATTTATTTAATTATATTTTAATCAAAATTTACGATTTATTTGAAAGAGAAAAATAGAATTAAAATTTATTTTGTCCCATTATTTCTCACCTAAACCTTTATCCTAAATGTTGTTAGAATGTATTTAATATTTGATTAAATCAGGAGTTCAAACAGCCCAAAACAAAGGTTCAAACAGCTTAACACAGCAGCAGGCCAAAAGGTTCAAAAGGTTCAAGTGAATGATATTCAAATTGGTAATGATGGAAGTACAACGGCTATAAAGGTTCAAAAGGCCAAAAGGTTCAAAAGGTTCAAATGGAAGATATTCAAATTTGTAATGATGGAGTGGAAGATATTCAAATTGGTAATGATGGAAGTACAATGGCTATAACTTCAAATGACTACAACAGTTATAAACGGCTATAAATTCAAATGAATACAATGACTATAAACGGCTATAATTTTCATTATATATACCAAAGCCTCTAATGTAAACAAGAAAACAAAAACCTGAAAATATTCTTTGATCTATAATCACTCACACCTATTCTCAGGAATTATACATTGAGCCTTATAGTTTTAAGCCCATCTTTCTTGTGTGAGATTTACAGAAAAATCAAAGCTTCATTTTATATATATATCTATCTTTGAGAGATATTTATTGTAAGCTTTCTCTGAAAGAAAAAATACCATTTCATCTTGTAAAGTGTTGCAAACATTGTGTTCTTGAAATCTTGAGAGTGATTGTGAATCACCTACGATTTGCAAGGGTTTGAACTTGTGAAGTCTATGTAAAATCCGTGGAGGATTGCTCCATTTGTAAAGAGGTTGCTAGCACCCCTGTGAAGCTAGAAGATAGTGAAAAATCTCAAGTGAAGCTTGAGGAGTGGACGTAGGCCGAGTTGAAGCCGAACCACTATAAATTTGTTTGCCTCTCTCTCTCTTATCTCTTTATTTTATTTTAAATTGCCATAGCTATATTTTACTTTTTTACTGTGCTAAAAT